CTCGCTAGTTCTAGAGGCGAGTGCGGGGATATATGTTGATATCTGCGAGTCAAGGGGCAGTCATTTGGGAGGTTGAGCAAGGGCGATATCACCACAGGCTATCTATATTGTTACACACTTAATAACCGGGAATCGACCCTCCTGCGGGACGTCTCCCACCGAAAGACAAATTTGATTCAGCCTTGATCGCATTGCCGACACACCACCTAAGCCATTATAGAAAAACATACGCTGCAGTCGTATATCAGGGCACTTCGGCGATGTAGCTTACACATTACTGGTGTTAGATTTTTTGGCTGAGCCTGTACGTGCCCGCAGGGGACAGGCAGGAAGGCCTAGGATCGCTACTCCTGGAAGTGGTTGTACGCGATGTCTGCGAAGGACGAAACAAATGGCAGTCATTGGAGAGGTTGTGTTCGATAAAATCGGGCCCGTAAACCCCCGTAGCCTCATACTATGAACCGTGTTGATTAGATCTCATCGAAAATGCCTCAATAATTCTCACCTGGAACGCTTTCGAAAGATAGCTGTTTCAGCTGCAACGATTTTGATCGCCTGGGCGTTGGGAAGCCATAGTGTAGGTAGAGCTCCGCAGCGTCACAGACGCGATACAGGTCCTTTCGCATTGCATAAAAAAGAACATTGACCAAGATCGGCGAGGTCCAGGAACATTTGAGTTAGGAATACGAACATGCGAATCTCGCAAAGGAATAGCCGAGTTGGTGCAAGAACGGAAACTAGAGCGATAGGCAAGACAGACAATAATCGCCGAAAGCTCAGAAGAGAAAGTGCAAAAGCGGGGAATTAGAGGACATCATATTTCACTGGGCGGTCAGTATTGCGGTCCGTGTGTTCGTAGAAGGTCCAAATAGGTGCTGGAGCCATGCAGATAGATACAGGCGGAGCTGGTTCGAACTTGTGGCCAACTTGCAGTGTGCGCCACCGACTCCGAAACCCGACGGGCGGGGAGTCCTCCCAGAGTCTTCCGGCTCGAGCGTATTATACCCGAACGTAGCAAGTGAAGAATTTACCGATCACATAGGACCAAGGCCAAGTTGAAGGCTCAGTGCAGAGTCAAGCTGCAAGGCTGAGTTGATTTTGGTTGAGCTGCGATAGTGATGTCCAGCGCAGTGTTTGATCCGCGTGTTGCCGATCCTTCCGGGCCCTCCCGTCAAGGATCCAGAAAATTTCAAGCAAAGGTCAAACGAGAAAACAAATTGCATTAAAGAAGAGAGAGCAGCATAACACATAACGAGGGAAACGACAGCCGTACACTACCCGTACACACATACCTACCTACTGTAAGTATTATTACCTACCTACTTGCTCAGAATCAAGTCCTTCATCCATCCCCAATCCCCGTCCACTACCGTTGCCATGAGTATGTGAATCGTCGTATCGTTCGTGTCCACCACCACACCACGTATCGTACACCCTCCTCCGCCTGCACCCCACCCCACCCACACTCGTAGATCGGGCCCCATAAATTATCAACCGCCTCTGGCCCCCGCCTCCGCCTCCACCTTCGCTTACGCCTGCGCCTCCACATCCCTCGGCGTCCGGTCCGCGCGCGACAGCCCCCGCAAAAACGCCGGCCTTAGCCCGCTCAGCCCGCCCAACAAGCCGCCGCCGCCGCCGCTCCCTACAAGTGCTCGTCAGTAACTTACTCACACTCGGGGACGGAAACGCGATAAAAAAAGTAAAGAAAGAAGGTACTCACCCGACTCCTCCTCAGCCGCCGCACCATTCGTATTTCCGGTGTTTGGCGACGTAGGCGACGTGGGCGAAACAGCCGCAGCGCCGGCGGGCGGGGGCGCGGTGGTAATGCGCAGGAGGGACGTGTACGCTGCGCAGCTCGTTAGCTTCGTCGACGAATGGTAGGATAATAAGAAGGAAAACAGAAGAAGAGACGCACGCTGCCGACAAACAGGGCAGAACCACCCCTTGGCCTTGCGCTTCCTGCGCGTCGTTGTCGTCGGCGTCGGAGCCGCAGTCGCAATTGGTGCGGGCGTCGCCGAGGCCGCGGCGGCGGGCGCATCACCTTCAGCCGCAGCAGCTTCGCCGTCTGCGGGAGACGCAGCTGTTTCAGCGCCCTCCGCAGGAGCAGCAGCAGGCTCGGGCTCCTCCGCCGGCGCTTCTGCGACGATGGCGCCGCCGGCGCCGAACTCGACCATGTTGACCGCGCAGGGGCGGCATGCGACGAGGTGGCGGCACGGGAGGAGGACGACCTGCGGATGCGTGAGTTTTGTTTACGCGTCGAATGCAGAACAGAAGGAAGATGAAGAGGGACTGAGACCGCGGCGGGCCGTGATGTTGCTCGTGGACCACCGAGGAAAATAGCGCAATAAAGACGCGATATTCATCCACTCTTCCTCACATAACATCAAAAAGGGAAACAACACACCTCCCTCGGCGAGCTCAAACACAGCAAACACTCCCGCTCCGGCGGGTCATCCGCGGGGGCTGTGAAACGCGCGTCAGCACACCGACCAAACTAATCCATGGAACAAAAATCGAAAGAGGAAAGCACAGCAAACAGCCTCTGTGAAACCCCAAGCCAAAGCAGCTCGGGGAAGTCAAAATCCGAATCAGGATGGACTGCGGAAGCTAATTTGGGCTGGGAGGCGGAGTGCCGTCGAGGTCGACGTGTAAGGTGTGGGTGTGGGAATCCAGATGCGATATGGAGGCAGGCGGAAAATGACCAAAAGAGCGTAGAAAGAAGGGAGTAGATGGAGAGAACTTACGCTGAGGCGGATATGTAGCCGGGGAGCCTGTGGAGGGGGTAGGAGTTGGGGCTAAGGAGAGAGAAGTTAGTTGTTACGACCCAAAAGAGTTAATAAAATGAAAACTCACCCGCAGCGCTGCTGAGCCCGTAAATTTCATGCAGCTGGAAGGTGTGCGGACCAATCATCGCCTCGCGCTTGACGACGCGGACGAGCCACGGACGAGTGTCCGTGTCAGCGTCCGCGTCCGACTCCTTCGCAGCCGCATCCTTCTCCTTCGCCTCCTCACCAGCCGGCGCCTCGCTGCTCGAAGCGGCAGCCACCGCAGGCGTCGCCACGCGCGGAGCACCAAGCCGCCCAACGACGAGGTAAACCGTCTGCTCGTTGGGCGAATCGAGCTCCCGGCCCTCCGCATCAAGCGCAACGAGCCGGATCGTAACGCGCACGCTCTTGTCATCGTCCTCGTGCTCCCCACCGTCCTCCTTCTTGTCGCCCTCCACGACGGCAAGCGCCGCGCCAGCGACTGGCGTCGCCGGGGTCGCCGGAGTGTTCGTGGAGGCATTGTTGCGCCGCCGGAAGTGGAACGGCGTGAAGCGCTTGCGCTCGTGAGCGGCGGGGGTGCTGGCCGCAGGTGCGGATGGTGCGGAGGTCGCTGCGGGGGCGGCCGCGGCCGGCGGAGTACGCTCGAACCGCGCAAGCTCAATGACGGCAGCATCCGCGGGTCCGAGCGCGCGAGCAAAGCCGCCCTCTACGACGGCGTCGAATACCTGCAGGGCGCCGCCGTGCGCGGGTGCGTCGGGGTGCGCGGGGGGAAGCAGGACGTGCACGTGAACGCCGCACTTTGGCGCGGCACAGTCGAACTGGAATTCGAGCAGATGCGGGGCATCCTTGAGAGTCACACCATCTGCGGGGGCAAGAGGAGAGAGCCGTAAGGTGGGCCGGCGCAGATTGACGAGAGCCTGGAGGGTGGTCGTTGGCGTGGTGGGAATCTTACTCTTTTCGATCCACGAGCGAACGGTGTCAGTTGTGAGCTCGTCGGGCTCGACCAGCCGTTTTGGCTGGGTGTGAGTGGTCCATGCTGGCCCCTGCTGAACAGGGCCGATATTGGGGCCAAAGAGCGAGTCGGGGGTGGCTGACGGGTTCTTTGGCGAGTCGGACGAGGGCAAGGTGGCGAGGCTGACGGGGGTGGGGGTATATGGCCCAAATCGCCTGGAGGAGAACTGTGCGTGGTCTGGGGAGGGTCAGCGTCGACGCGGGGGACAGCAAGCAAGGGTGAGCTCACACCAGGCCATCGCGGTCAGAGACAAGAACACTGTAAGCACGGCAATGTCCGCCGCCGTCTATATTTACCTTTTCTCACGCGTGCTATATTCGGCGCTTCGGTTATAGCCCAGCCGACTTTGTGTCCGCTCCAACTCTTGTCCTCAAACAGCCTAAATTTCTCATCCGCAGTTTATCACAACAATTTCGTAGCTCACCGCGGACTTGGGACCAAGAAAATTTCATCTCCTTCATCCAGACGAATCTCGGCCGCGTCTCGGCCGGACTCAATTTAGTTCAACCTTGGTTCAACCCACAGCCGTAAAAAAAAGATATAGTGAGCACAGACCGTGAGTACTTCCGCTCTCAATTTCGACAGCGGATTTTCAATAAAACTTGGGCCGTTGAAAGGCCTGGAACCCATACTGGACGTATGATTAGGTGCTAGAGGCGTCATGTCATTGGCAATGCGAGCAAGTCGTTAAAGAAAGAGAAAAAACGAAAGAGACAATTTATCGACGGTGCTCCAGAATCTGAGTGCCTCCGCGTATCATTGATTTCAACAAAAGCGAAATAAAATAGCGAGAAGAATTGTACCCCTGAATCGAACAGGGAACTTCCTCGTAAAGATCAACACTCAATGCAATCAATGAGGGTATGTTACCTTTACACCACCAGGCCTTTAATACAGAGCTCGCCTTCCCTTATAGAAGGTCAACTCCAAACAAGAGCTCCCAGGGTTGAACTGGTCTCCGGCCTGTATGTAACCACCGCGCAAACGGAGCCGGCCTATCTGTATGATATCGAGAATAAGAACAGAAGACCACAAGAAGGCAAAGACATATTGAAAAAGACATGGATAACATCGAACAGAGATCTCCCTTACAACAAATGTGACATCCCGATGAGAACACATGTCACCAGTACACCAGGCCTTTCACTCTGATCCACTTGAGCTCCCCGCATAATAAGTCTCCAACCATTGTTGTAGTTAAGAAAAATCGTGGACCAAATTGATAGCCTAGCCCCGATTCGAACAGGGAACTTCCGTATAAAGGCGCGGCACACAGAGAGCAATGTGAAAGGATGTGTTACCGTTACACCACGAGGCTGATATATTAGCTTGTCGCGTACGGAATACTTATGCACGAGAAAGCCGGCAGATGAAACGAGGCGCGGCCCAAGCGCGACCGCACAACCCTATACCGAGCATTTTCTTGAGCTAGCCCTCCACCGAGGCCTAAATTTGTGAGTGAAATCCAACCTGGCGAATAAAGGCTGGGGCCAATTTGATGGCAGGTTACAACTCAGGAAAGACTGAACAAATTGTCCGGGCACTAGATGAAAGTCCCGAGAAAATGGTCAGCGACTGCCTATTCTTGCCCTCGATATCACCAGCCACAAGACAGCAGAGAGAGTTTAGTTTTCAACGCATCACATTTCGGGCCGACATCTAGGGGGTTGAACCACATTCAACACCGTGTTCGACACCCCGGTTGAGAACGCAGCGAGCTGGCAGCCTCTTTTCTATTCGCATCACAACAAAATTTGAACCCACTGCTCCACCTCGACGGCGTCTCTTTAAATTTGAATAGGTCCTGACCGAGCAACATGAAGCTCTAAATATTAACGGCGGTTTGCCGAATCAACCCTGCATGGACACATGAAACGATTCCAGCTTCAATCAACGGCGTTCCTTACAAATTCAAGTTACGCTTTCCACTCGGAACTATTCCCCAACCGCAAATTCAAATCGTTCAAAAACGCAATCGCCTCCTCACGAAAATCGTCCGCAATTACCTCCACCCCCCGTGAGTCAGAAAACGAAAGCAACGCTCCGTGGTCCAAGGCGTTCCATTCCGGCCAGCGGATAGCCTCGTCTGCAGGAAGGTTCGGATCCAGCGTGTTGACAAATTGGACTAGGCAGAACAAAAGGCAATTAATGGAGAGGGGAAGAAACTGAGAGTTAACTCCATACTCAATGCATTGACCCCGAAATCATTCTCGCCAGCCGTCCCGAGCCAGTGGTTCACGTCGCAACCGTGTGAGGCACCGAGGATCGGCACCGACTTTCCGCGCTTCGAGACTGAAACGAAACGGAGGTTGTGTAAGTGAGAATGAGAATGATCTTACGCCGAGAAGGAAGGAGAGACATACGGTATCCCCACGCATCCTGCGTCCGAGAAACTTTGCTAAGTAGGTTGCGACGCGGGCCTTGGAATATCAGATCGCCTTGGACAGCCGCGAGACGCTTGAATTGGGGGCTGCCAACAGATCAATTATCCAACATTACGCCCAGAAATCGAAGATCGTACGTGACGGCGTTCAACTGCCCAGTGCCAAAAGGCGATCCCTATTGAATTGAGTTGACGACACATTGAGCATCCAAGACAGAAGACTTTTAGGAAGACTGACGGATGCTGGATCACTCGGGTACATCACACCCAGGTTTGATATTTCGTCTTGCGAAGCGGCGGGGAGGTAGCTGATTTATCGTACGACTTATGAACTCAAACGATGCAGAGACGTGACACTTACTTGTGGTGCATGTACTCCAAAAATTGCTGGTCGGTGCTTTAAATTTAGCCAGTAAGACGGCAGGTAATTAGTGCATAGAAAAAGCCACACGTTATGTTCATGTTTGCCAGCGAAAATAGACTTGAGACCTGTCAGCGGCGCAAATCATTGCTGGGATAGGTGTATCTTACGTTCCCTCGTCGTCGCAATCTCCTGCAATAATAGGTACCTGGGTCCCGTTTCAGCACATCGCTATCTACTCTCGGCTTCCACACATTCCCCATGCTCGAATACGAGAAAATGTTGGGCGTGCGGTTGATAGCGGACATAAGGACGTCGAACGGCGCGTGGCGCAGACAATCCAGGGTATCGGTCGCGTCTGTGCAGTTCGTGGCGGCAACTAATTGGTCGTATTGTGGCTGGCCTTCGAGAACGTGCGGTATTGACGATGTGGCGCCGGATTCCTATGAGTGAGGGGTTGTAAGTTGAACATTCAAGAGAGTGCTCCAGTTGGTTGCAAATTTACCATGAATGCTCCGTGAAAGAGAGCAGGATACTCGGCATCGGAAGCCACAAGATGCATCCCAACAGATATTGCACCTGCGCTGAGACCAGCACTAATACAGAGCTTCGTACACGGGTCTGTAGAAAGGGAGGAACACAAACATGATAACGCGGTTCGGATCCCCTCCGAATGCTGAGATGTGTGCTTGCACCCATTCAAGAGCGAACTTTTCTACGAAGCGAAATCAGTTCATGCAGATCGCTCGAAGGTGACTCAGAGCGCTCACGGTCTCGTAAACCAAGATTCCCAACGCCAGCATCCATAACCTCTTTGCCGGCCAAGAAACCGAACGCTGGGCCGTTAATATTCAGACTCGTTAGACGAGCCACGAATCTGAGAAACAGGTTGCGCACCGTTAAGGCGATAGTTCGGTATTACGATCACGATAGGTTTTCCGCGCTCAAGGGAGCGTTCCAGGATCGAATTCATGATAGTATCTGACGCGTCCCCAATCTCAAACCCGCCTGGATCTATTGGTTTAACATGCCGATGGAGAATTCATCCTCACCAACCTCCGTGAAACCACTACAGGTGATTAGAACGAGGCTCCAGACAAAACATAGCAGTGTACCACAAGAACAGGGAGGTCATGGCTCTGCTGAACAGGCTTTAGGACGTTGATCGTAAGACCTTGAGCGCGTTACTGGGTCAGTCCAAATTCCATTAGATTTTGGGGGACTGACAGTCTTCGGAGATGGACCCATAATTTCCCGTGAAGTTCAATCCAGGAATGGGCGCCAAGGTCTGCTGAGGACAAGCCGCCCCGAATTTATCCACCAATCTGACACCAGGAACATGGACGGGAGCCATTGGCTCTCGAAAACGTAAATCGCCAACGCTGAAGATATTTCGTTGGTGCAGATATCAGAGATTTGAGTACTTACGGCGACTTGGCAAAAGGGATGCCCAGAGATTGTGTTACATTGCCCACGATGATTCCCTGGAAAGAGCCGTATGACAACTCCACGGCTGTCTCCGCGGGAAGGCAAACGTCCGGTTCATTTGAGAAGAGACTGACAAGAAGCGCGAGGGAGAACGCATAGTTCATTTCGTATGCCAGAAGGTAGATGCTGAGAGAGCAGCAAACCTGAGAATGGAATGGGCGGCCAAAGTAAAACACCGTGGACGTGGGTACACGGCGCTTGATTCAACGGTCAATTTGAATGACACTCGGGGAAAATTTAAATATACCTTTAACATGCCGTTGCGATTTCACGTTGATTTCCACTGGAGGCGGCGCGCAATGGGAAATTTTCTAACGGTGGGAACGCGGCGAGGACTCACATCAAACTTTCGCTAGCAACAAAACATTCAATAGATCCTCAAGGGTAAACTGCTTGTGCGGACTAGATTATCCTGGTAGATGCCCAAGACTACAAAGAGTTGCATGCCGGCGTCAGGATGGAGCCCTCCGAACTCCAAACTTCACTCCGAACCCAAGTCGATAAGTAATCAAACCGTTGGTAAACTGAACCAGATCGATCAGGAGACACCACTTATCTCTTAGCGGATGGTCAGACGCATGGAACGATTACTAGGCCAGTGAGAAGTAGCCGTGATCCCCAGTTGGTTGGTTGGGATAGGCAAGGGATAAGGGAGAAGGCAAAAGGTTTCGGCACGTTTCAAACTCCGACGATTGCCGATTCGTCACCGCCACACGAATATTCGTTCACAAGCGCCTACCGAAGCGAGGACAGCATCTGTCCAGCAGCTGCCGAGACTGCCTTCCTCACGTTCGCCATCGAATACCAGCCATCGGTGTTTGCCCTGCCGCCTGCGCCATGACCTTTGCTCCAATTCATGCCACGGCAGATGACACGATCGTTATCCACTGGCAGGAGGATAACGCATCCAGTTGCAATTCGGAGCGTTGGGCGCTGTAACTGTAAGCCAATGGCCATGCATGCACTGGCGGAACTCTCCGACTCGGCGGCGTGAAAAAACGCCGATTCTTTCCAGAACGACTGCCAAGAGGGATGGTGGCAATGCCTCGTTTTGCCTCGCTCTTTCCGAATCCGCTCTTTCCGAATCTACACTCCTAGTTTTGAGGCGGAGACTCCCTGTTTGCGCCGCAGGGTGACAAATGGCCAGGTGGCCTCGGTGTCTGCTCACCTCAACCCGAGTAAGATCATGCTAGATCATGTCCATGTTCCAATTCCCTCTCTGATTGGCGCCCTCTAGAAGCTCGTTGATTGGATCAAGTTCACGGAGACATATAAAAACCGTCCAAAGAACGTTCATGCCGTTACACCGGCCTCTACAATCTACCTCTAAATGACCCCCGACGAGATCAAGACATTGCGGTCGATTGGGCTCGACCTGGTGAAGACCTTCGTCGCCATTTCGAACGAGACGATTCTCCTCAGTGAGTTCCTTCATCATTTGTTGAGCAATTCGTAAATACGCGCGCTTAGCAATTTACGGTGTTTTGGTGCTGAAGACCAGCCTTGTTCTCTTGTATGCTTTTTTTTTTTTGGCTGCCGGACTAAGGGATGTTGACTACGCGTTGGGTAGTAGTCTCAATGACCGGTGGCGACAACGGTCCTCCAAGATTACCTTGTTCGGCATCCTTATCATGTTTGCCATATCCATCGTACTGTGGGCCCTCGATATGGCGGACTTCATTATGGAGGTCAAGCTCTCGTTCATCGATGATCCCGATCTCCCGCTCAGTGCTCGATTGGCGAACGCGCGATTATTTATTTTCCCAAATATTGCGGCAATCGACGCGTTATACTCTTACATGGTTAGCTTTAAATCATATCTATCCATCTGGCGTCATCTCTCAACGCACTTTAATGCGTGCAGTCTCTCATTGGAGACGGGATCATCATCTGGCGTGTATGGAACCTAAAATCGTACTATAGTCCGTGGGTTATCCTCTTCCCTCTCGCCCTGCTATTCGGATCCGTAGGTGGGCGTAGTCTCCACACCTTTGGACATCCACCTTACTCTGGGCTGCACTCCTCCAGTGGCGACGGTGATGCTAACATACTGCGTTGCCGCGGTCGGGTCCGAGATCGTCGTCGG